TGGTGCCTCTGAGAGCAGCATCGAACCAAAAACTAGGTAGATATTGAAGTTCACTTCCAGCCACTGCTCTATTTGCGACGCCATGGATTGGTATTATTACATTCAGGTAATGGAAAACTTCGAAATTGCACCCATTCAGACTGAAATAAATATGATTGTCATTACATTCTATTAAACTCTAAATTTACGCACCTTCTACTTATATCGAATTTATCTTCTGGTCTGATATACCCCAACTTCGATATAGCAAAGCTATCCGTAGGCATTGTTTTACGATCATATACAAATCATCTACATGGGTAGGGTACGGATTATCATACTGCTGAAGAGTAGACTATTGATGTGAAAATGCTAAGAACCAATTAGTCGGCATGATCTAGTTAGTATTAGCATACTTAATGCTTGACACTTGAACGGCCCGTTCTCACTGGTTGCGCGGGCCCCAGCATAATCTCCATTTTTCGGAGATTTGCGTGTTAAGCCATTGTGGTTCCCTGGAGTCCCGAGGTCAACCTGGCAAAAGTCTTGCCCAGGTCTTCACCACCACAGCAGTCGCAGCCCTTGTGGATCAGAGGGAGATTTGCCACCATGCGACTTTGATACCAGTACGGTGGTAGATCCCTCTATTGGTTTACTCTTAGCTGGGCTTCCTGGTGAAAACTCCGAACTCCTTCGCAGCCTGGGAGATCTTGCCAGGGGATGAATCCTCCGCTGTACATCGCAATCTGACACCCAGGAACACCTCCCAACCACGATGAGGCGGTAAGCCGTTGGAAGTACTAGAGTACTAGTATGAATCAAAGAAATACAGTGTCCCACTGTGTAGTTTTGATCAGCTATGTACATTCATCTTTAAGTAAAATTGCAAACTAAGCAATTAGAAGAAAATGTTGTTAAGAAGAAGCCTAACCAAGAAGAGGAACGACACCGGCCCATCCGCTTTCATAACAGTTTTACTGATCACGTGAATCTACGCAGCACTTTGTTTTGTAGTAAAAGATTAAACCACAAAGTCGTCGTCAACCACATGCGACTATAATCAGCTGTTCTAAACTTCCTCATTGGAAGTCACGAAAAAAGCGGCTCTGAAGAAGGCGATACTGCCGAAACGTCAGCTAGCGTTGTATTGTATTGTGTTTTTATGGAAGTAAATGTATGCTATTTAAAAACCTCGCGATTGCTGAACAAGAAAACGACACATAAAAGATTAAAATTCGAGCTTTCCTGACTTTATTGAAGAAATTACAAGTGTGGGAGAGCCACAATAATGCTGATATAATTGCAAAACTTCAGCCCGCAGGTGTCTGTGGTGCGGAACGAACGCGCTATTACCCTTTCCGGTGGCTAACGCGTTCACCACCACATCATACTGGTCCTTCGTTTCGCCTGCCTCTCGGCTAGTTTTCTATGGATATCGAGTTTTCAAACATCTCAGCATCATTGTGGTTGTATCACTCATAATACTCCTATGTAAAAATTGTAATAGGCAGTAAATAAAAAGTTAAAACTGTGATTTCGACTAAATTAAAAGTTAAAATTGTGATTTCGGCCACGGCCTTAGCTTACCTGGGTTCATTGCCCATCTGGGCTCCCCCAGATCAATCTCGTTGATGGATGATTGATGATGAAAATGATCGATAGAAAACTAGCTGAGAGGCAGGTGAAACGAAGGATACGCATGGCGTGGTGGTGAAAGCGTTAGTCCCTGGAAAGAGTAATATCGCGTTCGTTCCCCACCACTCACACCTGCGGTTCGGAGTTTCCCATATATCTCAGCACCGTTGTGGTTTTATCATACCTAATACCTGCCGTAGAAATTTTGATAGGCAAACAGAAATTTCAGATTGAAATTTCGAGTGTTCATTAATAACTGTGCATAAATGAACTTATGTGACGAATAATGCAGACATTTATGGCCATATGAACGACGTGTCTTCTTAGTTGAAAACTTGGAAACATGCAGTAATCTGTATTACCGCATGTTATATTTACCAGACATAGGAACTGTTGCGATACGCTTGAGCGAACTCTAAATCCTTTCGATCGGGTTCGGTTTTTAAAGGTGTTGCTCACGACGTCATCTTACATCGATCACCTTCGAAATGCTGCGCTTCGATGCTTCAGGAATTCCTTGAAACGACAATTTATGCAGATTCGTTGACCCGTTCAAATGCTGTTTGTCTGGAGTCGTTCAGTCAAATCGGGGACATCATCTCGCATAGCGACCTGGCGCTATAACCCTCGTGTTGCAGGCATATTGCTGTCGCAGCACTCATTCAGCCCGATGGACGACAACTACCGCGCCTTTGTCTCATATATGCACATCCGCTGATAGCTGCTCAAATATATGAACGCTCGTTTGAAGAAAATATAGCAACCTTTACCGCAAAGCGGTATTACTGATCCTTGTTCGTTTTGCTGTTAGAGCGATTTCGATTACTGGACACCTTTGGCGATGCTTCGATAATGTGGTGACGAACTATGACCCCTGGTGAATTCGGCTATTAAATTGCGAAATAAGAAATCTTCCGATGAAGAAAAATCCGATTATTACGTCATATTAGATAACTTTTTTAAGAGGAAAATGTGATAGGGCCGCTACTCGCTGTGAACCTGGTATGAAAGTAATCCTTCAAAGAAGCCCGAAACGATTCTCGGAGGCTAATGCTTATAACTTAATTCCCAATAACTATTAATGAATCATTGAAAGGGTAGAGAGTTCATCGATTCAAGCCTTTTTCTACAAGGTTTGGTCTCTTATTTAATTCGTAAACACTCAGTTTATTTCATAACCACTTTCCTTTGCTTTTTCTGTTCAAGTTATTTCTTCTTCTTTCTAGTTGTTGTGGTTATCGTTACATAAATTTTCCTCGGCCATTAGAAAAATGTGTGAGCCATTTCCAGGATATCACTATGAGAACAGCTTTTTCAAAATTTAATTCAAGGGCCACGATAACCTTCTAAACTGATATCCAGTAAATAGTCCATCAAAATTTTAGCCACTTTCTCATATTGCAGCACTAAGATTTTTCTAACTGAAATTCATTTTTTGTTGATAGTGGACAACCCTGGGTATCTCTATGTTTATTATTTTGTTTCTATTGCTTTAGAACAACTGCATAAAAGAGTCACAGGTTACAAAAACAGGCGATGTCGTTGTGTGCACTCCCTGGCCCCATTGCCATCTGTTCAAACCAGTAATCGATTCAATGCGTAGTTACCTCTTTATTTACTGGCTATTATGTGAACTTGCATGGTGTGATGGTGAGCACGTTAGTTCCCTGAATGAAGCGTTCGCGTCCGCTCCCCACGCAGACACCTGCTATCCGTTATTTTGCAAATATCTCAGCATCATAGTGGCCCAATCCGTAGTATTTAAAAAAATTTTTGAAGAAACCGTAGATGAGGTAGTGGCCCAAGAGATATCAGCTTCTTAATGGAATACTTGTTAGGAGAAAATGGTATGATAACAGAAAAGCATGAACAAACAGCCGCAGAAACTTACAACGACTCAGATTTTTCCAGTCATTAATTGCCTACGAAAGGTTTTTAGAGCAAACATGGGTTTAAAAAACCACTAGGAAAAGAGAAACGAAAGGAGACATAAATTTTTTGGTGAATTTAAATACGAATTATTGAAGGCGTTCTGAGCTGCCCTATGGGAAAAACTTGGGAAAAGTACTTCCTAGACCTTTTTTGTATTCTTTAAGTGTGCCATGTGTATGGAAACCTAGGTTAACAGCACGAACTACGATCAATCAATCAATATAGAATCGCAAAATTCGAAGCAATGTAATGTTAGACTTTGATCCTTTTGTTGGCTAGGATCCCAAAACCCAGTTTTAAGTATTCTGGTAACTAAAGAATAAAGGACAAAAGATAAGGCTCTCGGCGTTGATCAATCCTTCAGGAATGCGCCATACATTTTACTTCATTAAGCATCGTTTGGAGGTGTTTGAATGCATGTCTGGCCTTTCCATTTACTCGAGATGACCTACCGATATATCGAGCCATGTCTGCTATCCTCCCAGACAAGTCTGATACTAATTTACCGACCCCGAAGGAATGGAAAACTTGGTGCGCCATGGGAGCAGGGATCGATTCCACGAGTCTGTTGCAGGGCGCCTTTGACTCCTTGCGCCACACGCGCCCAACAACAGAACTAAACTAAACCAACTAAAGAACTAAACTAAGGAATACAATGGATTAAATCAGTGAACTCATAGATTTGCCTGCTGCATTTGTTAGTGGAATGACTATCTCACCAGTACCGTAGTTGTAGTTCACATAATAGCCTGCCGTGAAAAATTGCAGCAGGGGTTAAATAAAAGTTAACGTTTTTTTTTACTATCTCAGCAATTCACTTTTCCAACAATTTTCCATGTTTATTGCAGCATTGAATTTATCCTTTTATTGCAATTCTGTGAAACTTTATGGTTCAGACCAAGAAGTTGCGAGTTCACTTTTTGCCAAAATTAAACAATAAATTCACCTCCGAAGACTCGGTTAAGAGCTTTTCCATAAAACGGTCACCAATTTGACCACTCTGTCATTGAACGTATGCTAGAAATTGCTCTAAACCAATAAAACTACAACTTCATTCTCTCAGTCTTTGAAAAAAAAAATATGCGGAAAAATGCATATGAAGCACGGTGGTTAGGCAGCTTTGAAGCACGTGTGCAATAAATGGTCTGCTACCTCACCCAGACTAACTCCTCCTTCCATCACCCCATCGTCGATAGATTGGTTTCCACAGTTGCTTTAGTTGATATAAACACTGATAGAATATGTGGCAAGCTCCCACTACCCCAAGCATGCGCTCAACCACCAGGGATCTCCTATTTTGAAAAAAAAAACGGAGTCGCAGAGGCATCACGGTTTGTCTGCACGACCATAGCACCCCTGTCAACACCAATGTCACACGTTATGTCTTTGTGTGTGAGGGTTCTTTTTCCACAGCTCTATTTGGTTCATAGATATTTTAGACGTTTCAGGAGTAAATGAAGTGGCTTTTGATGACGGTTCTGTTGTGCTTCCTGTCAAGATGTCAATCTGTGATCTGTCCCAGTGACATGGGAGCTCTTTTCCTTTCCAATAATCTCATCGGCGATAACTATGAACTCGGCTCCTACTGTTACGATCACTGCGCTTCTTCAAATTGCACAGGTCGGTCTATACCGCATGAAAATGACAAAACATATAATTTTATCCGAAAAGCTGAATTTCTTGACATTTTCTTGCTTTTTTTCTCTTTTCGAGAGAATTTCAACCAGTTGTCCCACAAAACAAATATGTTGTAAATCTGACCTTGTATGAGCAAAAAGCCTAATATTGGTGGTTCTCCAAATTCATTTTTTTGCGTTCAAGTCAGGTAACTACAAGAGTTTTAAGGGTGCTGAAGACAATTATAGTATGGAAAGGCAGGGATAAGGCGGTATAGAAGCGATTTGGGATGCTTAACGTCATGGGGCAAGACTTGTACTAGACTCGTATGTTTGTAAATGCGAGGAATTATTTTAAATTAGATAGAAACTATTTGACCGATTCAAAAATTCGGAAAATCTATTTCGACTACCGAATCTGGATGCGACACCAGAAGACCTCCTCAGCATTGATCATTTTTAAAGCTCTCAACTACATATCTTGTGCTTTATTGCCTTATTTCAATACTAGCTTCAAGGACACTTAGTTGACCGTTTTAACTTATCATTTAAGTTCTCTCTATTTATTTCGTTGCCTTGAAATCATCAGATGTTCTTCAGGTTTGTGTGTGCGAAGACTGTCGTTTTCTCCCCACTACGGTGTGTTCAGTGCGGTCCATCGGAAGATGACTTTTGTCTCCTTTTATTCTCTATTACTTTTCGTGGAATCTGTAGAATCGTAAAACAGCTAAACTATGCACTCCTTAGTGGTCACGACAAGCTATATCTAAAATTTGTGGATCGGAGAAATGTTTACCGCCATGCAACTTCGATTCATCTAGGAAGTCCGCTATAGCTGGAGGCACCGCGACTTTACGAAAGCTCGCAAGGCGGTTAAAAGAAGAATAAAATCATCTGTAATATTAGATTTTCAGTCCGAGTGTTTTTCTCCGTTAAAAGCACCAGGTGCAACATGCTCTCAGGGCACTATTAAAATTTGTACCCGGGCAGCAAATAAGACAAACAGCTTCTTCCGTATTTTCCAAATAAAGTCCATCATTTATCTTTTACAGTTGTGAAACTTTCCTTGTGTTTTATTTATTGGCATTCAGCAGATATCAAGAATCTAAAGGTCCCATCACCCCAAATTACTAAGACTTTCATTTTATAATTATTTTTAAGTCTTTTTCCTTACTTTTCAGGTGTCTTGGTGAACAGGAATTGGTGTCTATCGATGAATATCGATGAGTTCTATGGACACATTGGCAACAACAATATAATCTTCCGAAAAGTATGTGTTCCAAGTAGGTTTTCCATTTTCATTACAACCGTAACCGTTATAGCTTGTTTTTCATATAACTTCATTCCATTTAAGCATAAAAGACATTTGAGGTGCGAAAGCTAGATCGGTGGTGCAAATCTACAGAAATAAATTTCTGGACAGCAACTCGGAGAAGATAGTAGAAGCGGATGATGAACTACGCTGCCTAAGCCATTGCCTCAGTCAGAAGGTTCACTAAATACTTTTGCAAACTTTATTTCGGTGTACAGAATAAAATGGAGTTGGCTTCGATTTTAGCTTTTTTCTAAGTCATTTTCAACCTTGGTCAAAAAATCTGATTGCTTCATATCATCTGATTAACTTTGGGAATGAGATAAATTCCTATCCACGAAAAGCTTATAGAGACATCATAGGATTAAATATGGACTAAGGTCAAGGAAAAACTGGTTAGAACAACTACTTATGTCAAAGCCATTGTTATTTTTATGGAGGAGTCCGTAATTACGGACCAGACACAGTTTTTTTTCTTACGTCTTTACACGTTGACGTTATTATTCTGCAAATGTTATTACTATTTTAGCGATTGCGTTATTAGGATAGGTTAGATAAGCTATTAAATTTACGTATTGCCAGCTTCTTTTTACTTCATCTTGCTTGAAGGAGTTTTCCTGCAATTCGATTACTTTCTTTGCACAAACTCGTGGGTGTTTTTTGAACACTGCCAATTCGTCGACCGCGAAAGTTCTCGACAACGCCGAAACTGACATTCACGTCGTCTATATGGAGCACCAACGGCTCAAAAGTGGGTGTCAGTGACTTTTTAGAGTAATTTTTTATACAGTATCAAGGTCAATACCGTTATTAGTCAACATGCCGTGGCAATAACTAAAACTACTGTAACGTTTTTTTTTCTTTTGCACAGAGCGCATTTTTAGCTAACATTAAACCTTTCATAGTGCTGGTGAGGTGTGAGAAGTTGGCGTTTGGAGATGTCGTGCAATCATACCCACTTAACTGCTGGTTAAAACCTTTGTGGGATACCTAAACTCGCTATTTTTCCGAATCCGAAAAATTGGGATCGGACTTATCTAGGGAAAGGTTTCTTTGACCAACAAAATGTGCATGTGCAAAATTGACCCACAAACGCTCTAACAGAGATGTAACTAGGTTCCAGAGACTAGTAAATCCGGGAAAGATTGGACCAACATTGGGCAGCAGTCATAGATGAACAGTCTTTAGCTCGCAGTCGAACTTATACGAAAGTGCGAAGACGCCACGGATACGAGACCACCAGCCGAATGCAAGCAGTGATGGCATCCGTATAATAAGTGATGTTGGGTTTGTGTTAAAAAAATGGTACACCTCGAGTAAATGAGAAAGCCATCTATAGTTTTATCCAGCAAATTTCGTGATATTTTTGAAACCAAGGAGACCTACACAAAGCAAATGGGCGATATCTTGTGAGAAATTTAGGTCAAAGTCAATGTGGCGTAACAAAGGTTAGCACTGATCAGCTCAGAGGTCACATATCTCGCTACTGACATCGTTGCATTACCTAAGCAACAGTAACAACTATTGAATTACCAACGTTCACTTGTAAAGTAGCACTGATCTCCAGTAGTTCAATCGTCGGAGAAAAATCAAGCTAGTGATAATAGTTTTGAGCACTGTAGAGAAAAAGACATGAACAGTAAGCCAACGACTAACTCTTTAAGAGTTACGAAGAGAACAGTGCTCGAACTCTTTTCACACTATTCCATGGAATCAAGTAGCACTCAGAGGTGAGGCGATATTGGTGAATGTCACCGGCAGTTTCGATAACGTAGGTTGTTTCAAGTTTTCCCTATAGGACCATCATAGTTCAACTTCAATTTTTCAGTGCCTCGCTCTCTGCTCTAGCGGTTGTGACTACGCAGCCTACAGTGAATACTTCTCTGAATGTTTTCTAATCACTTACGATCCAAATGGGCAAGCATTCGATTTTATCAGCGATGATTTTCAGGTATTCAACAGTGAGCTCCTCTGCTTCTTTCCTTTTTATTTTTGAAAAAGAAAAGATCTCGCTGTTTACTTTACTTTGAAATTTTGTCTTACCGCAAATGATTCCACGTAGGTTGAAAAAGCTCGATACACAATCCATTTTAACGCACAGCGTCCTACATGCATCGATCTCAACGCACGTGGGGTCATAATCATGGATGCTTTCAACTCTAAATCGGGTGGTTAAGAGAGAGCTAATGAGCCGCAAATAAACTTACGAGGCCGTCGAAACTATAGTGAATAGGGGAAACATTATCCGATCCGTTTCCAACGGCGTAACCATTGAGAAAGCGACCTTCGAAAGTACCGACCTACTTCAAATCAATCACAGAATTGTCGGAAATCACGGAGCTTGGATGCTCGACACATCCTCGACTCGGTGTGTCAATAACAATACAAGACTGGTTGTTTATGGCTAGAGCAGAACTCGGGAGCTCAAGAGCGCTTCGAACTCGCGAAGCTCTTTCTAGAGCTAACGTGCTACCCGCTGCACTAACCAAGAGCCTTGGTTTGCCTTTTTCCCAGCTGTTTTCTTTTACCCTTGCGATGCTATCTGCAATTTCATGTAACGAGTGGAAAAATGGCTCGGAAAAAGGTAAAGCATTCTCTTGGTTGATGTAGTGCAAAATATGTGAGCGCAGTGTTCCGAGTTTTGCGCATATCTCAGTATTCGCTTGATTGTAGTTCACATAATAACCTACCGTGAAAAAAATAGGCGGTAAGTAGAAGTAGATACAGTAAGAAGACCGTCTACTGACCGCTAACTAAGATCTCAACAAAATGAGAGTTGTTATCTCTTGCACTCAGACTTCTTATACGACGTCGGCAATTTTTGTATAGCTGAACTCTTGGCTAATATTAAGCATGGTTCAATTCTTTAGCTTCACTAACATAACCAACGAATGGATATCGAAGCCCAACACTTTTTCACACCTTCTCAGCACAATGAAACTGGGGCGGCAGCCGAAGCCACACACAAGAACTTGGAAGACTTTCGTGGATAACGCATCTGAGAAAGAGAATCGAGTGCGAGAATTGCTGAGATCTGCACACTTGGTCTAAAAAAATCGTCCTGTAAAAATTAACCTGATTTTATGACTTTTCGAAACCTAGGATTATTGCAAGAAAAATCCAGAAAGTTTGCTAAACATTAGAAATCAATAATGATAAAAGTGAGAATCGCGGTCCCCAATTTTTCAGGTTTTCGAGAACATCTGCAATCATCCACTGGAGCGTTGCTCAGCAAAAAGCGCCATGTATATTTCATACAGTGGTGAAACATCTGCTATTAGAAATAAATGCCTTAAAAAGTAAGAAATAGCCGACATTAGCCGAATTGTCAATCGGAGCCTAAATTTCGAGGCATATCGTTCGGTTTCAGATGTATTGCTGATTTACACTGTAACTTTGCACACATCCAAAATGGACTCTGTGTGACAGCAATGAAGCCGAGAAAACTTCCGAGAGTGATTGAGAAACACTGTCACAGTGGGGATGAAGCGGGTGTTGGTAGGTGAACCGATAAGAGCCATATATATATATATATATATATATATATATACAAAGCACCAATTCCAGCGGTGCTTTTCCAAGAAGACCCCAAATGTCCCGCAAATGAGAACGGTATGACCATTGAAGGAGCAAAGCTCACAGATTGCTTACAACTTTGTGTTACACATCCAACGAAAAGGTATGCTATATGCACTAAAATATTTACTTCTTCTCGAAAGCCAAATCGGGTTTAAGACAATTTATGATTAACAGTGTTTTAACGTTTTTATTCACTGCAAACTATAATTTCTTTATGTATTATTTCTTGATAAGCTTGCACGAGGTTGATAAATATATTTATTTTCGGCTAACGTTTCGACGTCTTCGTCTTCCTCAGAGCCGGTGATCCGAGTCGATGGTCCATGCTTGTTGTTCGCCTCGACGTTGCGACTTCGCCTTCGTGTCGAGCCAGATCTTCCTCAGTGAGCCATCTTCTCGAATGAGGCATCCTCACTCAGTGGTGCCCTTTTATACACGATGCTGATGGTGGATATATAATGACAATGTCCGGTGGTAACAACTTGTATTTCTTCCGGACATACATCATTGCGCTCATCGTGCAGAGGTCGGTGTATTATCAGCTAGCACAAAGCGTAGTAATACTTCGAAACCGACCTTCACTAAACCTCGGTGTGACTAATCAATATGTATTATTTCTTGATAAGCTTGNATGTATGTCCGGAAGAAATACAAGTTGTTACCACCGGACATTGTCATTATATATCCACCATCAGCATCGTGTATAAAAGGGCACCACTGAGTGAGGATGCCTCATTCGAGAAGATGGCTCACTGAGGAAGATCTGGCTCGACACGAAGGCGAAGTCGCAACGTCGAGGCGAACAACAAGCATGGACCATCGACTCGGATCACCGGCTCTGAGGAAGACGAAGACGTCGAAACGTTAGCCGAAAATAAATATATTTATCAACCTCGTGCAAGCTTATCAAGAAATAATACATATTGATTAGTCACACCGAGGTTTAGTGAAGGTCGGTTTCGAAGTATAATTTCTTTTACGGCAGAGTAATAGGTGAAGCACAACCACGATGATGCTGAGATATTTGCAAAACTCCGCAGTCTGCGGTGGAGAACGAACATGCCTTCACCTTTTCCGGGTGCTAACGCGTTCACCACCATGCTATTTGGGTCCGTTGACGGGTGATTGCTGATGGCTGTGATCGATAGAAAACTAGCAGAGAGAAAGGCGAAGCGAAAGACACGCATGGCGTAGTGGTGAATGCGTTAGCCCCCAGAAAGGTTAATAGCGCGTTCGTTCTCCACCGTGCACTCCTGCGGTCCTTTTACAAATACCTTACCATCATCTTGGTTGTATTTAACAGAGTTTTATGAGGTTTCAGTTGTGAAGCGGTTAACTTCTATAAGAATGGACGATGTCGACTTCTGAATGAGGTGACACCGGCAGATACGGCAACCCTAGAAACTGACAGTGGCTGTAGACATTTCAATTTAAATGTGATCACCTTTAAAAGAGACGGTGCGTAATGTGCTTCAGGAATTACAAATTTGGCTTTTTTTCAGAAGTTCAAATCTTTAACTTACGTTGGAAAGAAAAAAGAAAACCTTAAAAGAATTTTTTGCGTTCAGGTTGCCATTTCTTAATCAACTACCATTTTTTAAAACCTCTTACTTAAAAAAGGACCCTCTCTTTGGCCACCTTAATTGCTTGCGTATTCGAAAATTTGACTTTTTCCCAAATCTCTGCGACTAGTCAGTCCGTCAAGTTCTTTTTCTTTTCTGAAGAGTTGTGCTGTAGAAAAAATTCTTACAGCCACTGCTGCATGGAAAATTTTTCTCTCAAGAAAAGTTTTTAAGCAAAGACCCATCTGTCGTTCACTACTAATTCAAGATGTTGTTGGAAACGAAATATTCAAGACAAGTGGCCATGTTGTTCCTTTCCCACGCATAAGAAGCAGTAGTGGACTTGACTGAAAAAATTGAATTACACGAAAAACACTGCTGAGCGAAAAAATGTTTTCTGATATTTTGTATAATTTTCCGCTCCGAAGGGGTGAGATCTACTGCTTCGAAAACAAATAAACGGCGGAAGTCGAAGCGAATGAAGCTACAGGCGGCCGATAAGAAGGATCAGGTAGACTTCAAATATTTCGTTTCAGTTTTTTTTCATTCGGCTAAAATTCTGTTTTTCAGGTAGAAATACGCAAGAAGCCATTCCTCGATCGTGGGGTTGATTTTGAACTGAAAACGATATGTCACTATGACAGCATCATTGTTAAGGTGACTCGCTTAACTATTTCTCGCTAAACAATCCATTCTTTTTTGTCGTCACGTTCTTTATTAACCCCATGTTTACCTGATAGCCGAAGAAGGTATTAATCCACTTTTTCCATTTTTACGTAGGTTAGCGAGCAAATTATGGGTACAAAAGAAGTATGAGTTTTTTTTTACTAAACAACGTAGCATACACCGTTGATGAAGTAAAGGACCAATCAAAGCGTTGCATTTATCTGTTGGCCAATCACACCTTCTCCATCAGGTCACTTCAAAATCGTCTATAACATTGAAAAGAAAAGAATTTTAAAAGGCGAAAAAAATGACGACCAAAAGCGTATTAAAAAACAAAAGACTAAAAATTGTAACTCATTTCTTTCCCATTAGCACTGGCTTTCAATTTTGGCTCCTCCCTTAGACCACGCAGAGAATATTCTGTACCTCATCGTAAGTCTTGTACGCAGGGCGTGTACTTTCTCTAGCACTATTTAATCCTAGTATGCAATCTGCTACAATTCAAATTACACTACATAACACCCGTGTGTTTGTCCCATATCCCTACTTCTCCGCAAAGACCGACGATGGCAGCATCGCTTGGTGGCTCAACGCCTCGAGCCTCTCTGTCCTTTCAAGCGTGAGTATTTTTACATCCGTAGCTTGGATATTATTCTCACCGTTCTCATCACCTTATATGTTCCTCAATTTTCAACTAAACTCACATGAAGCTTTTGCACAAGCTATTGTGCTACTTTCATATGAACTCTCAGTACAGACAACTTTGTCAAACTGTCCTAACAGAGAAATTTTCTAGAACCCGCTTCTGATCGCCAATTCTAGTTTCTAGTTTCTCCTATCAAAACTCTAGCCATTGCAGAAGAAACACTAGTGGCATATTAGTCATCTTTCAGTTCGTCCAAGTAGTGCTTTTAGATCTTCTTGGTACCTTCTTATTTCACGTAGTATAATTCGAGCGCGTGTGGCGCAGTGGTTAAAAGCACCTCTGCGACATACACGTGGAATCGATCACCGCGCCCATGGCCCACCAAGCCTTCCATCTCTCCGGGGTCGGCAAATTGGTACCAGACTTCTCTGGGAAGATGGCATCACTGGCTCGATACTTCGGTAGGTCACCGCGAGTCATCGTAACGGCCGGATATGCATTCAATCACTTCCAAACGATGTTTAATGAAGTGGAATGCATGGAACATCCCTCAGGGATAGATCAACGCTGAGAGCTTTCTCCTTTTATCCTTTTTATAATTCGAGCGGATCACTTGACTAATATAAGCAAACTTAACCTCAGTTCCACGTAATGCCCTTCCCACTTTAATCATCCGTGCCTCGGTTATCTCTTATTTCTTGCTGCAGTTGTTCTTCATATTAAATCTCCTCTACCAGAGAGCTTACTGGTCGGCCATTTGTTCAGCACCTTTTTTGGTCAAGTTGTATTCTATGTGAAACTTCTTTCTTATATTACATCACTAGTCTATTACAAAAACTACTCTCCCATCTTCAATGCAACTTCTTGATCATTGGTTTTCGTCGTCTGTCGATTCCGTTGTTAACATAGCGCATAGCACCTACACTGCTTGCGCTTCCAAACATCATAAAGTTGTTGGTACATTATTGTTGTAACAAGCGGTCTAACTACAAGCTCAAGTTTGAGATTACGAGCTGTGGACCAGCAAAGGCCTTGCATAGCAATCAGAAAAAGTGGAAGAACCACAACACCCACCTGCAAAACTCAGACCCCAGGCCAGGTACGAACCGGCTTCTACTCTTTGCGCGGGCTCAAGTGCTATCCACTGCATCGGTGAAGCACCTGCCTTACCTTGATCTCAGCCATCCAGTAGTTGTACTTCAAATAATACCATGCCCGTATCACCAGTCGCCTGTCACCTCCAGTCCCATTAATCGTCGAGTGATTCGAGCGAGCGCCAGTAAATCTTCCAATTTTCCCTGTCCCATGCGAGATTAGTGCAGTGAGTTCTGCTAGCTCTAGGGATGCGTCGAGCATCATATCTTTCATCTAAGCTTTTTGTGAAAAACCCTGACCATCGGGTGGGTGGTCTTCCTACAGTGCGTTTCACATCTCGAGGAATCCAGTCACTAACGGCTCTTGTCTATCGGGTGTCATTTATACGCATTACGTGTCTGACCCACCTTATTTTCGACTGTTTGGCGTACAGAACGGCATCTTTGATTTTTGATCGTTGACACAGATCGAGGCTTCGGATCCCATCCCTTAGTTGTGTGGAACGGGATGCTCCCAGCATCGTCACTTCGACTGCGCGTTCGATAACGCTTAGTGACCTATCATCCTGCTTACGCAGCGATCAGGTTTCTGACGCATATGTTAGAGCAGGAAGTAGCGTTGAGTCGAAAAGGTGGGCACAGAGTCGGGTGTTCTTTGTACTCTTCACTACATCCTCGATGCTGTTGAAAGCACTCCAAGCCGCTCGTTTCCTTCTGCTCAGCTTTGGAGCTTGGTCGTTCATCATATTGATTTCCCAACCTAGATAGGTATAGCTGGAGTATTCGGTGATATTGGTTCCGTTGAGCGTGAATGGGGCATGCGAAACCAATCCGTTCTTTATGGACATTGTTTTTGTGAGATTTAGTCCAAGACCAATCCTTCCACAGGCTCTATCAAAGTCGTTATGCATACGTTCCCCTTGGCTAATGTTTGGTGTTATAAGTACGACGTCGTCAGCAAAGCGAAGATGGTGTAACTGCCGATCATCGATTTTCATTTCCATTCTATCCTATTCCAAGGTTCTCATGACGTTGTGGAGGGTGACGGCAAATAATTTTAGCGAGATGGTATCGCCTACCTAATCTCTCTTTTGAGGTCAATGTTAGTATCGTTGTAGAATGGTGATATCTTGGTTGTGAAATGTTCATACAATAACTGTAGCTCACGAGGAATCTTTATGTACTGAGTAGGAACTCCTTGACTGTCCAAGGCTTCCATGACTGCTTATACCTCAATTAAGTCAAAGACCTTCTTTAAATCGATGAAATTGAGACAGAGCTGTGTTTTGTACTCTCGCGATACTTCAATGAGTTTTGTTATCGTGTGGTTGTGGTCCATCATACTAAATCCTTTTCGAAACCCTGCTTGCTCATATGGCTGTCCTTTGTCTAGTGTTCTGTCAATCCTGTTTAGGATAACTTGAATGAAAAGTTTATAGACGACAGACACCAAGAAGATTGGGCGATAGTTGCCGATATGGTGCAGGTCACCCTTCTTAAACAATAACACGATCTTGCTGGTCTTCCACTGAGTAGGGACCTTGCATTCAGACATGTAATGTGTGAAAAACCGAGCCAGTGTGTTTACGAAAACTTGGGGAAGGTTCTTCAGGTGTTTTGGTCTTATCCTGTCCGGACCTGGTGCTGTTCGATTTTTCACCGGCGAAGTGGCATGTCGGTTTTCGGAAGGGAGAACCGGTGGTACAATATATCCACCCTCCTTTATTTCATATAACAGGTGTTGCACGTAGCTATCGAAGAGATCTGAGTAGTATTCGTGAATGATTTTCTCTATTACCTTTCTGGACGACGTAATTGTTCCGTCTGGGCGTCGGAGGGCAATCATCTTGGTCTTGTAACTGGGGAAGCCTCGGTGGGCTTTGCAAATGTTCTTCCTAGGCTCTGCAGCTTTCACCATTACTGCTGCTTTTCTCTCTTTAAGATCTTCTTTTATCAACTGCCTGCGCTGTTTTACAAATTCGGACGTTAGTTCGCGGTTGCATGCAGCTCGTGCGATTCCACGCTGGCGTATCAGCTGGAGTGTTTCTGGAAACAGCCGTCTCTTGGTGACTTTTGAACCCTCAGCGTTCATAGCGCTAGCGTGAAAATGTTGAATGAGCCGATCGCATTCTTCGTCGATGTTATAGACAAGAGCATCTTCCCAACTGCCGACTAATGAATTGAATAAGTTTGCGGTGGTTCTGGGACTTCGGTTTTGGAATTTAGCGGATTTTCTCCTTTCGGCTAGAAACAGAATCTTGAAGGAAGGAGACAGTGGTCTGATCCCGTGTAGAATTTTGGGACAACAGCGACAACGGTTAGGCCAAACCTTCTATTTACTACGAGGTGGTCTATTTCGTTATGATATTCTCCATTAAGAGACTTCCACGTTAAGCGTTTAGGGTCGAGCTTCTGGAATTGCAAGTTGCGATGGATGGTCTTGGTCGTCACGATAAGCTCACCCTGTTTGTCACACGAGCGACTTTCTATTAACCTCGGCATTGATCAAGTAATTCCTCGTATTTTTGTTGAGCAAACGCGAGGTGCAATCTACTTGGCCATACGCCTCCATAACCAAACAAAGAAACTCTAAACCAAGATTTCAATCACATTAAACACAGCTTTCCACACTCACCGGCCTTCTATGAGGTTTCCACTAAGTATGTCACGTAGAGACCAACAGCACAGAAATCACGTGGAAGTATAATGTGCCCCTCACATCAGAAAAGCAGTTTTATATACTGCCCTATATCACGCGTGACAATGAGGCATTCTTCCCTGTGGTTCATTTTCGGATTTCTGGAATTAATCCAGAGTGCCTCGAGAGTTTTTCGCGCCTGTGTTCTTGATTCGCGTGCGAGGACCGTGACACACTTCGAAGTCAAACTAATCCAGAGTGCCTCGAGAGTTTTTCGCGCCTGTGTTCTTGATTCGCGTGCGAGGATCGTGACACATACTTCGAAGTCGCTCCCTGTTATGTCTCTGGGTCCTATGCGTGCCTAGCGGGGTATTTGGTCTATTTTTGCCGGCTAGGTGTTCTTTCATGCGGACACAGAGGGGCCTGCCCGTTTCGCCAATGTATTCGTCACCGCGCGTCTTACAGGAGATCAGATAAACTATACCCGAGTTCATGCAATCACCGTCTCTACCACTGGGGCAAATTATGCAATTTTGAGTTGCACATAGACGGTCATATAGGCGGTTGCGGACTAGCTGGCGCTTAAGATTACTCGGTGGTATTTCAACTACGCTCACCGAATTCTCTAAGCCCGCCCTTC